AAACAAATAAAAAATAAATTAATAAGTTATTACGATTCAAATCTAAATGGTTTAGTATCCCCATGATGCCGAGATAAATGTTATCGTCTTTGTTATTATAACATTAGGAAGTTATTTTACTTATTTCACGTTTGAGAGTAATAATACAACATTATGAATAATTAAAATCATACAACAATAAACGCCATGCTTTAATTGTGATTACTGATACCGCATTTCATACGATAATATCTAAGGGGAAATCAGTAAGATCTGTTGTTTATTTAGAAATGATCAATGTTTTACTTTAGGTTTGGAATGTATATGTAATATTGTCATGAATAAGTTTCTATTAATTTTCTGACAAAGCTTTCCTTTTTTTTTCAGTTCTTTTAAGTTTGTTTAGATGATGTTTCAAGTATACAATTTTATTACAATAGGTATTTGATAGTTACACGAGGGTTGTCCCAATATTCTGTGACAAGATTGTTTAAAGGCTAAGTAAAATAGGTACACATCTGATATTTTAACTATATATCATATTTATGCATGTCATTTCAAGATTGGAAAGAAAATACTGTATCTTCATTGAATATTTATAGAAAAGAACATAACTTCAAGTTTGTCGATTTGATTTAAGTATGGAGTCTGATTTCTTATATTGTGATTCTAAACTTGTAGACATGGTATTGATTTTAATAGTTCTTTTCAAGGCACATTATGCCTCAGAAATCGATAAACTTTCACTTCTTTAGAAAGCGTAAAAAATAATTCTCTAATGTTTATATAATGGTTTTAGAGCATATCAGATGCTTGTTACCTCAAGGAATTAACGTTAAATGTGAACTATTTTTTCATAAAAGTAGCAATTTTCGGTTATACTTATCGTTGTCTTCTTATATAGTGCTCTATATAAAATTTTACAAAAAAGGCGATTTTCATTTTGAAGAATGCATTGAAGGTATTTCCTTATAAATGGTCTAATAAAAATTATGTCTTTCTAAGGTAAATTGCAAAAAAAGTAATAATATGTACATAATATCTTATCTTAAAATTAATTAACATATTTGACATTTTAAGAAACACTCCATTAATACATTTTATTGAAATTATGAAAAGCAGAGACCCCTGGAGACCATTTGAAATAAAATAGAAGTCATATTTAGTTAAGGTTGCAGGATTCCAGAATCGCAATATCTCCCACACTTTAAGCCAACAGATATCATAACATACCGGTTCCATTTTAATAAAGACTGACAAACCACATTTCTAAATTTCTTCTTCATAGACATGCACATAATGGAAATAAAGTCAAAGCTCCATGTCGAACTGCATATCAATTCTGACCTTTCATTTGAATATTAATAGATTTAATCACAAACATTGACGCGTACCCTTTTGTTAACAAATATGTTGTGGTGAAATTCTTATTGTATCCACAAATCTGATAATTAAAATTTGAAAGGCCAGGGATCTTCACATTTTATGCCAATGATGTTTCTTAAACTTCTCTTATTACAACAGCATTGTATGGAGTACAGATCTTCAATTGAAATTATATCAATCTTGTTTCACTGATGAGATGTAAAGGTGCATGAATTCATAAATAAAGAACCCCAGAGTACTAAGCAATGTGAAAGTCAAGAGCTCATAGATATCCAAGTACCTAAAATATCGTTAACATATCTCAAATTCATATTCTATCTCGATAGATGTTTACTAAATCAGCTCGTTTGTCGACTGTAATTCAAGATATTTTTCAGCAAATAAAGGCTGTATGAACAAAATCTATTTGAGCACCAGTGACATTGTCCCAAGTGAATGGCCGTTATAAGCTCAGGATTTGTCTAGACCTACATAATTTGTAACATTTATCTCGAAAAATAATGTCCAGTCCCGTCATGTCAAAAACCATAAGTGGAATCCCTTTAAAATACATTAAATACTTAATTCTTAACAAGAAAAATATCTAATATTCATTGTTTCTTTTCATGTTCTAAGAAGAATGTTTCGAAATAGAACTGTTTTTCAAAATGATGGACACAAATAAATGTCCTGGTCTTTATAACTATCAGTAACGATAACATAAAATATATCATTTATGGGTAACAAAAGACAGACGAGACTTATATTTAGGAGTTTTAGCAGTTAAGACTTATCAAGTTTTGGTATTATAGTAAAGTAAAAAAAATGGAAATAGTTACATGTATTGCTCTTAAATTAGAGTAGCATAAGACTTAGTATGTTTTATCTATGTTTATGTACAGCCAGATGGAACTTTCTTTGGAAATATTCAAGCAGATACGTCTTCAGGGCATACAAAAATAAATGGTTAACAACAGTTCTAATATAAATTGACATCTGTGTATTGATCGACTATCAACAAGATGGTAAGAAGGTTTTAAGTACAAAATAATCATGTTTTCTGTCGCTGTAAGCGTGAATCGATTGATATATTACTTCGCTTAGTATTTAAACATCCTAATTGAAGACATTCCGTGACATTCCGACATATTCTCATTGAATTGCTAACAACATTGGAACTTGAAACAGGCTCAGCGAAATGAAATTGACTAATAGTTGACTTATTAAAAGTAATTGTTGCGTTTTCATTTTAAAATTAATGAAATAATGATACTTGTACAAATTGTCTCATATAAAATCATATCGATGTTTTGGAAATATGTTGTTTCATTTTTTTTTCTACATTAATTATTGAAAATTAAAAATAAGTTATTTGTGCTTTATACATACATGTTTGTCACCGTGTGTAATAATATTAGTATCATAAAACTATATAAATAGTTTTTGCAATTAAGTTCGTCATATTTAACTGAACAATAATAACATGTTTTTGCTGTTATGCAATTTGAAATATATCATAATAAACAAATTGTCATAACCATGCACTTGCACATTAAGAAACTTTTATAAATGTTTAAAGACTTAACGCGTTTAAAACTTGACTGTCAGTCATGTACAAAACATCTTTTTACACGTTATCACGTGACACTTATTCACATTATATTTTTACACTGAACAAGCTTCCTGACTTGAAATAAACCACGGACAAGTGGTTTCAACCCGACGACCTTAACCACTCGGCCGCGAAAGTCTTCTGGCGACCGGTGCTATAAAAATCCTTCAATTAGGTTAATTAACCAAATTACGATAAAAAGATGGGAAACATTATGCTTCCCGATTAATTATAGATTAGATAATTAGAACATTAATTAGAACATTACTGTGCTGTAAAATGATTTGAAAACTGTCAATGATAATCAGTACATGGGAGATGTACAAGTACATTAATTTGTAAAACATTAATTTGTTTTAAATCACCAAGCGTGCAATGGTACAGACTGAAATTATTTTTATAATTGTTTCCTTATCAAAAATTTTATTTTCTTCTTCCCGAAATGAAAAATATAGTTTTTATTTATGTATCTATTTACAATTTAATTCAAATCATTTAGTTAACGAAGTTATTTAATTTTAATTAATGATTCAAATATAAAACATAATTCAAAAGTTGTGAAACAAACATCAGGTTAATGGAAATTATAGAAAAAACATAATTTATAAAAGATAATTGCATTATAAGGATGTTTCATATAAATTTGACGGTCTATTCAGGTATTTTTTATAAGAATGAAGTTTTAGTAGGCCCATGGACACAGTATTCACAAAAGCATTGTGTGATATTATACTATTTATAATGTCAATGGTGATCATCCTTTCTATGTGAGATATGAGTACATGTCATTCCTACTTGATTTATATCGGAAACATTTAGGTAGTGTCCGTAGTTTGTTCCTTCATTTCAGGTTGATGATATCAGAGGAAGTGGTAAATGATAATTCTAAGTCATTAAAAATCTTTCTGAACATATTCAAAAATTTAATGTTAGTCAAATTTTTAGTCAATATAGTCTTATCTTCTAAACAATATCAATCCCAATTTTAGTCTAGTAAAAATAAAATATGACCTAGAACTAATTGCAAAAGTTTTGAATCTTTGTTCATTGAATAGGTCTGGTATATGTATATGTCAGAAAAAAAGTTGCACATATAACTCTGTGCACAACTTTTTTTACAAGCGTTCAAAGTTCACGAATTTTAACTTTATATTTTAAGACCCAAACTGTACACCATACACGCGGTTTTTTCCTATGACGTAACAATTTTACGTAGGCACGTGTGTCATTGAAAACTTGTCATATGATTTCGTGAAACTTCCGTCGAAACATAAATATCATTTTTAATCAAAAATAGCGTTTAGATGGCAAAGGTAAGTTTGTTTTGTGTATTTTACATTTACTTTTATAATTTATGCCTTTTTACTTTCACAATAAGTGCCATAGTTAAATATAACTATGATTTTATGATAAAAAATTTTTGGAAATAAACACCAAACCAATATCACCAGTAAATGTAAGTAGATTTGATTTTATTCTATTCCTAAAATAAACGATATATATATATATATATTTATAAGAAAACGATGTTAATAAGACATATTTAATATGAAAACTTTGTATTTTCGACATTATATTGTGACTTTGAAATGAACAAATTTCACGATTTTTTAATCTACGGAAGACAAAACGGGACATAATTTACGTCGTGAATATGCATTATTTTATTATCACAAGGTATTTTATTGTACTGTCGGGGACCATCAAACGAACACTTTTTGAACAATTTGTTCGTGCAAATTTCATAATTTGTAACCTAGAGACCTTAAAATTTGACACAGTTCAGCTAGGTTCTTCACCTAACTATCAAACTAGTTTGTTTATTTCTGATTGTATGGACACTTATATCTGAGGCTGCACAAGGAGGGTATCAAAATTACCTAACTTGTTACCTACACTACAGTACCATGTGTCCGTACATATATGTACATCACGTTGGGTGTTTTGATTTTAGATTTTTAACATGATATACAATATTTCAGCAACAAATGCTGAAGTTTTGGATATTCTATTGTTAAAAATATTACCATTTATGTAGGTTGAAATAAATTTATTTACTTAATTTGACTGACAACCACTGAACAAAGAAAATACTAAATAAAGCATTTTCGGGGCCGTCCGGGTTTGGTGGTTGTCTGGTTTTGGTGGTCCCAAACCAGTATATAAAACAATATTCAGATTTACATGTACGTATATATAAATTTATATTTAGATATATATTTTGCATTATTAAACATGTAAATGTACATAAATAAAATCAATACTTAATTTCAGATAGGACATCCATGATTTACACACCAATGGTCATATGATGATTATCTAATGTTCAGCTGTCTCTTGTATCAAGGTGAGTCATACTTTAAGTATTATCTTTGCACAATTTCTATCTATAATATATGAACAATGTTTGTTTTAACTTGTCCTTTTTTTAAATATGCTATTATGTGAAATGGACCACACCAGTAGCTCTTCATAGGAAATTTGCAAAAATCGCTTCCGAGCTTTCATACTACATGATTGCCCGAAACATACGATACATTCCTTATATGTTCACCTTCCTCGGTCTGTTGTGATTGTATAACTTACTGATTTAATATTTTAAAAATGCAAAGTATAACATAGTACGGATATTTTATGTTATTGCCTACATTTAACACCTATGGAAAGTAATGCCGAATATTCAAATTGGCATTGGCCAAATGACGTCACGCTTTAGTTTATTAATCAAAGTGGAAAAATGAAATGAACGATTATGTCATTTGATTATCGATTCATGCAAAATATACTTGTTTCTTTTAAATACAAAGTTAATATGCTAATATAAATATATGCTAAATTCATACATGATTTCTCACAAAATATGTCTTTTATTTCTATAGATGATACAAGCCACATTACCCAACCATGCTGATGGAACAAACAACGATATGAAGGGCGTTGCATTTCGGTATGTTTATACTGACTACTGTATATTAAATTAATAAAAACTCATGACAATTTCTCTGTAAATATACACATGCTTGCCATTAAGTTTTCGGACAAAGGTTTAATGTATGTTAAATGCAGGGAAATAACATAGGCTATTTAAGGTAGGCTGAAATAAATGCACATTTTATACTGAATATTTCTATACTGAATTTTTTTTTTCAGAAACCCGTTGTGCATTTCTGATTTCGGGATCTACAAGTAAATATCAACATGGCAACAGGTATATTTTGTTTTTACCAATGTCAGATGGTTTATACATTCATCATGTTCCCATGTGTCGATATTGGTCTGAATAGTAAGAAAATCAATACACAAACATATATAAAATAACATATTTCATAAGTTATATACATGTATGATGTATATTCATATTTTACACTACATAATTATTACTATTGTTACTGTGAAATAAAGCATATACAAAATAATAATATATACAGATCTGTAGATTTAAAATATGCTTTCAGATTCTACAACGTGCGTATTTTGTGCGCAGGATATCCAGAATAGGTCCCAATTGTCACTCTCAGAGAGAAGGGAAGCAACAGTGTTAACCATGCTAGCGATCTGAGGAATTCAAGTATACAAGTATACGAACAATTACAGGCCAAATTGTGCACCAAGACTGTAGAAGGGACTTTATTCACAATAGAAACATTTCAAATAGTTCCAATGTTAAGTGTAACCAAGTTAAAAGACCTTTAAGATCAAATGCTTATTTTGCTTTTAAGTGTAATTGCTTGTTCTGTGGTAAGCCTGTAAAGTTGCATCTGGTAAACGTAGATGTTCATCCTGGTAGAAGTTTTGATTTTCAGGAAACACATCGTCGGAACCCACGGTACACATTCCGTATATACTACATTTAATATTATTACCAATACATATATACGGTAAATAGCCTGGGTTACCGAGGATGCAGGAAACAATACAACTCAAATGTTCTGAGAGAAACAATCAAACTCAAATGTTCTGAGAGAAACAATCTGTGGGGAAATGTTGTTTTAAACAGACTGTTGTCAGTTTTGGATTTTCGTCAGATTCGAAGAATTATATTTCAGATCAGACAATGAAAACCCAAATAGTTTGGCATATATATTCAAAAGACACCAAAATGTGATTGGAATAGAGATTTGTTATCTCCTACCATTCCTGCACGCTTTCTCTGGTTGCGACAGTTCTTAAAATAATGTGTAAAAATATAGTGTTCCGGCAAAATGCTGCAATATTTCATTCTTCAATAAACAAAGAAGAAATTATTACAGGTGGTGAAAATGCCATGAGGATATTATATGATGGAGCTAGGGAGATAAATTTGAACAGACTGAGATTTCACAAATTTGTAAGTAAAACCATGTCAAGTTCATCTGTTATTCAAGTTCAAAGCATTCCGCCTACGTCTGATGCTGCGGCGCAACACTCTATACAGTCATATTTTCAAACATAAACATGGATTGGAAATGATAAATTAGATCCAACTGAATGGGGATAGGAACTTCTCTAAGGACTCTTGTACCCACGAAATCTACACAACCAGCTGCTCCAGATTTTCTTTTAAATATCAGATGCAATTGCAAATAATGCCACTCTTAGAAATGTACCTGTCGCAAACATGACCTCGAATGTTCGGTTGGTTGCGGAGAATGTCTTTGTATTAGCTGTTCAAACTGTCGGTCCATTTCAGATATTGATTTTGCAGACATGGAGGACTAGATCTTGTATCGACACAATGCTCTTAGAACTAAGTTGTCAATTTTTACCTGTTTTGTATTGAAATGTATTCATATTTTGTGTTATTATTGGCAATGTACATGCATCTGGCATCTTGTTTTTACATAAGCAATAGAGGTTTCACTTTAAGTTATTAATATAAAACTTTGCAGACAAATATGTTCTATATATTGAACAGTCTCATATTCCTCGCGATGTAAATACAATGTAGCTTGTAACAAAAACAAAAGATTTATAATAATACTCTGTTTGCTTGCCATATGAAGTAGTTCTTTAGTATTGTAGTTATACTCTTTTATCCAGTGTCAAATTATACAAAAATTTATGGACAATATTTTACATTGGTGTCTATCACAAAACAATTAACTTGTACTAGCACCAAACTATGCCCTATAACATAAATGTAGTAAAATGTTTGAAACAATTTAACTCCAAAGGTACAATAGTATTGTACATTTAAAGTTAGATTGTATATTGAATACATACTTATCAATGCTTTCTTATATTTGCTTGTGTTGCGACACACTGTTTGTTTTCTCTAATTGTCAATGTCAAAGTTCACCTATTGTAAATAAAAATGTATTACTATACTGTCTGAAATACAGAACGATAATTTCAAATTTATAGAAGTGGTCTTATATGTTGTAGACTGTTATGTGTTAGTACAAGCATGACAATAACTCTACCATACACTTAAAGTGATTAAAGTGTACATATCGATGTGACAAAAATGTAGTTCTTGTGAATGAAACAGCCTGTATATTCGTGTTCTTTATATTTATTATCACTACATTGTTGCTTGCCAAATTAGGTAGCTCTTCGGTACATTTGTACATTTGTAATATAGTTTTATTCCGTGTGTAGTGACACTTAAATATATATACTACAATTTCTCCATAGACCGGGCATAGTATTTTGCATCTGTAGTTTTGGTAATTGTTACTCGCTCTTAATTATACTTACTTGTTGTTGTTGTTTTTTTTTTTTTTTGCTTGAAACAAACAAATTATTCAAAATGCGTTGGATGTTCAGAATGTTAGCTAAACAAAAGTGTACCTGAATTATTCAACATTTATCTAAAACATAATTTACAATACACATGTATACCCATTTTATTTCATATGAATACAGTTGACATAATTTACAAAGTACTTCTTCATGCATAAATATGTTATTATGTATTGTTTTTACTGTAAATATACATGGAATGGATGATTTGCTGCTTATATATCGGAATTTGACTGGTTAAAAATTTTAACATAAAGTGGGTGGGGTAATTTGACGCCAGTTTGTCATAGAATTGCCTACCAAATTTTTTTTTTAATTTTAAATGCATAAATTTTTGCATGAACATGGACAAAAATTTGTTTGTATGAAGTTTGCATGTAATAAATATGTTTAACTTATATGTAGAAGTGTTTTTTTTTAGTATCATCGGAAATTAACAAATTACGCCGATTTTATAACTGAAATTTAAGGGTGTCAACTTGAAAGCTAGAATTATCACATTTCCCCTTCAGCAAAAGAGTGCAACTTTTTTCCTAATATCAAGCAGATATGGTACCATCATAAAATATCAAAACAAAAACTTTTGCAATTAGTTCTAGGTTAGCTTGATTTTCGGGCTAATTTGACTAGACTATTTGTAAACCATTTAAATGCTTTTGTATGTTTTCTCACACGTGTTATTCAAAGTAAATTCCTAAGAGAATAGAAGCAATTCGATTAGAAATACAGTCTAAATAATCTTTTGCAAATGTTTTGTTTCTGAATTTTAGAAAATATAAGAATATAGAAGTAAATCATTCTGTCATATTTCTTGATTATCATTGGTAAGCCCTTTAATAATAGATAGACGTAAAAAACCTTTTCTTATGTTCCAATCTCGAATGCGAACCTTATTACTACAGTATGTACATGTACGGATCTAATGATGAAGTTGCGTGACGATGTCATACATCTTTCATATGAACAAGATTTGATCATTATATCTTATTAACGAAAGTCTTTAATCCTCAGAGACAACCATTGCCACAAGAAGTGAAACGTCTTTTACATCGTGATTACAAGACAATGAAACATGGCATAAAATATATGTATAAATGTACAAGTCCTTAGATATGTGTCAGACTAATATCTATTCATATTTGTATAGGTAATGAAATGTATATAATACACATTATGATAAATCATCAGTTAAACATAAAAATGAGAAAAACTTAACTATCATTTAGTTATATAAATGACATAAATTACACGTAAATTTTATTTGAAAGTTTTATTTGAAAATTCTAGGGCGCATTAATACACACATTTTCCCTCTAAAGTTTTGAAATGATTATTCTCTTTTTGACTCATGTGAACATGGACATATGTAAATAACCATGCTTAGGAGTTTGCTGTCCCTTTTAGCAAATTACGTACATATATTTTATTTGAACAAAACATGTTTGTTAAAGTTCAAACATACCGTTTAAGGCATTGCTTCAACCTATCATATCTTGCGAAATTTCCACTTCAGAGATATAATTTAAGATTAAACAAATATAAGTTCAGATATACATTACACATTGTTGACGGCGCAAAGTCATGCATTGTTTCCTTTACACTTACGGTCACTCTATTCACAAAGAGTACAAAACATTATAAATATACGTTATTTGTAGACAAGAGTATTTCTACATTTAAAAGTAAGAGCTTGAAAATCGCCGGAGCTGAGGGGTGTAAGAGATATTGCAGTATATATAGTATATCTCTTGAACAGATTCAATTGAAAACCGAGTCTACAAGTTCCACTTCCTTAACTATTTGTGTTTCATTTGTTCTCAAGTGACTATATTTTCCAAATATTAAGTATTCTATACAGACTAGTGATCATGTCAATAAATTGTTTTCTTTACAAATATGACACATAATGTATTAATTAAAGACAAATTTAAATACATGGTTTTATTAGTACAGAAAAGTAGATGTACAATAAAACATTCTACTTCAGTAATGTTAGTATATTAAACACATTTGTGATCATGTCAAGAGAGCGCGTTTTCCGTGAAGCGCTCCATATAATCTATAATACAATTATTATTATAATGTTTTTAGAACAAAAAAAATATTGTAAATTCGCGTGGTTTTCTCTCATAAAAGGACTTTTTGTGAGAATTATCGGAAATAATTATTATTCTGATGTAAAACATTAATAACAACCAGTTTCATAAGCCAGAGTGTTAAACCAAGACATAAAATTCTCGAATAGTGTCTTGTCATCCCTGCGTTTTTCAAAACTGCAGTTAAACGTGGTCAATATTATATCCGGCAGCAATATTAATGTGTCAAATGCAATATTGTACACTTTATTATGCAGTAAAAGTGTATTGTCTTCATCTGTTTTAGTAAAGGGTTAATTGTTTATTTTTCGTTGACATTCGAGTCAGTTGAACGAATACATTACATTTAAAAGGGACAGTATGAGTACGTAATTAGCAAATAAAACATATTGCCAACATTTAATGCTATAACTGAAACAAGACAATATGCCATTTCATACTTGCAAAGTCTTACGTTCTTTACATGACCTATATATTGAGGACAATTCAAGTCAATCTTTTCTTAATTTTAATCACGTCGCTAAATAAAGTCCGAGGTAGTCATGCTTTGAAATCATTTTATAAAAGACTTAAGATACCTCTCTTAGATCTCATGAAATGAGGAGAGTCAATTTAATCTAATACATATTTTAATTCATTGAAACCTGAATAGCAATATCATCATAAAAAATTCAAATTTTGGTGAATCTCACATTGGTCAGATCCACAAACTTGGAGTTTTAGCTCATTATTATGCAATAATTTTATACTAGTATTTAATATATCTTATAGAAACTGAGATTATGATTATATACTGTTTTGAAAATACAATATACTGCATAATATCAGATTCACAAAAGCGCATTTCAAGATCAATTCAAAACAGGCTAACAATACCTTAAAAATTGGTGTCTACCTCAGTGTCTGCTCACTGATTACAAAGATGCTACATTTTCAATCAATCATTTTGTCCAAAAATATTTTGTCTTTATCATTTATATTTTGTTTTCTTTACCAGCTTAAACACAAGTTCGGCTACTTTTGACTTGAAGATTGTTGTTGTTCGTTCTGTACATTTTATGACAGCTAATTAAAGCAATGGCATATTGTTGACAGAAATGTCAGATTTGTACACATTGTATCTGTTTAAACTATAAGTTGACAATACGCATCTTATCATTATAAGCACTTCTTTTTTCGGCTGACTAAGTTTAAGTATATACGATTTTTCATTATAAAACAATTATATCTATTGCAAATTGTTTTAAAGTAGATCTAGATTATTTTAATACACACGTCTTGCTGTTGCTTGCACTTTCCAGGACTGCCCATGAAGAGGTTCGATCAAACAAATCCGGCAACGTTTTTAATTTGCCGTTTTGGACTTTCCTTAGGGATTCTATTTGTCTTTATTTCATATACATGTTATTGCTGACATTTTATTGACGTATATTCATTAATCTACTCAAAATAAGACAGCTTTGAATTAAGTTATGTCAAGTAATCATTAAAAGGTCAGACAGCACCACAATCTGCCATTCTGTGATAGAAAAGAAATTAATAAACCTACACAAAAAAGTTGTAGAGACATCACCGTGACAACTGTGCCGTTTAACGAATATAATAAACAGTTCTCTTTTATTTCATATACGATTTTATCAGGATCTAAATTTCAATGTAAAACTATCCATTTAAAAATTAAGGACTATT